GTCTTTTCGGAGGCCTTCCCCCGGGCGTGGCGTCGGAGACTCCAACAGTCACGCCGCACGGAGTGGACCTGTGAGGGAGTGACAAGAAGACCAATATATCAGGCCAAAGACACAAACAACAAGCCCGAATCGACCCAATCGATATGCTTTCCAAGTTGCAGGGTCGAATATATATGGTCTTGCTAGGTTCTGAATTACCCTGGAGCTGAGCGCTTTTGCCATGAAAGATTATGAAAAGGGTTAGTCTGAAAAATGTTTATTTGGTTGGAAGCTTGTACTTTCAATCGTCGGAGCTGCGGATTTGCATCTCAAACCCCCTCCGGTTCAATTCTCGATTAGAATCATGGGTCACAAGCCACGCTTCTCGGAGTAACTTGGACCTGAAAGTTGCGGGAAATACACAGTCACATAGATCAATCAAATTTAACCTGTGTGATCTTTTTGCAGTGTTTTTAGTAAGACCCTTGTGCCTAGGGAAGGACATTTTTCTGTAAGCCAGAGCTTCATGTCCGAGTTGTCCAGATGTAAATGGAGTCACCCACGCGTGATCTTTTCAGATGCGAAATTCCCGGCTGGTCAGAATCTACCTGCTTATTGATCCAGACCTTGGTTGAGGACCATCAAACTCATCGGGGTGGGTGGGCTAGAAGTTCATCATCCACTCATTGGGGTGGCAGGGCTTTTCTTTCTTCAAAGCCGGAAATATCGGCATGAGCATGCATAAGGGCCATTATAAAGAAGACACGCACCCTCACAACGCCGAACACTTACGAGGAACGCTACAAACCGGCTTGGCTTGGCTTCTTTTCTCGCACTACGGGAAAACTGATCCACATCGAATGCTTCGGGGATGGCGTGGTCCTGGCCAGGATGGTGCCACCACTGCGGCCTTCGTTCCGGGCAGCGATGAGAGTGATGCGTCGGACAGTGGCCACTGGGTGATGAGAATCCGATCCTGTGGAGAATCCAAGGGATCCTGTAGACTCTTGAGGACCATAACCCCCCCCAAGCCTGAAGAGGATTAGACCCATTCAAATAGGGGGGGTTTATGGCCCTCAAGAGTCTACATTAGTCAGATGTTTCAAAGAGTTTCTGGAAGTTGAATTGAACATGCATCATGTGCAGGGATGTTGGTTTTGCTTGGGTGCAGTGCTCATTTGCATGGTGGGTTTGTTATTGACCATTGCAAATTTGGATCGAAAGTGCGGGTGTCAAGAACGACTTTTCCTCAGTTGCAGGAGGTTGATTGAAGTTTTGCTCCCTATGCGAGAATTGAACTTGTGGGCACCTTGTGCGCCAAACGCACAAAGAAAGTTACACACAATAGCCACGAGTGAGTCAACTTCGGGAGCTACACTGCAGTATTATATCTCAGTATGTCTCAATTCCCAATTGTTCCAATGTTTTCGTGTTGTTGCAGACCTTGTCAATTCAACAGTCAGTGGCCCACGCAAATTTAGATCAGGTTCTGATCCCTTCGGAGAAGTCCTTTGCTGGAGATACACTTTAGCCAGCGTGTCCACTTCTCAAATTCACTGCAGATACCCTAATGCAGAATGCAGAACAGTAGTAAAGCCGTGATTGAAACTTGAGTTGAACAAGGATTCATCAAACCATTGAATCGAGCCCCTAGCCTTTGTGCAAGACAGTATCCAGATTCATGCTCAAAGTCATAGAGCATGTTCCCAAGCAAGTGAATCCTAATGACACCGAACCGATGGTATCTATATATGGATCCTGATTGTTCAACGACCCATGGTCAGGCTTAGAAGTTGGTGTCTCATTCAAATCACTCCAGGCCAACCCGACTTCACCACATGACCTCGACTTCAACGCCTAGGCTGTGAAGACACCGGCTTCGTGGGTGGCTACAGCGCGACGGAAGGCCAGGCCGCTGTCGATGTCGCGGCCAGGCCGTTTGTCACGCTTTTGTCTCATCCTGTGGGGTCGGACGGGGTGACTGGAACTGTGATTTGCATCACCAGCCTTCATTGTTTGGCACACCTATACGAGGAGAATAGACGAAGGTTGTTTACACTTCTTTTTAACTTTGAACATGAAGCCATTCGCTCTCATGTTCCACACACAGTGCAACACACATTTGGCATTGATGCTAGCACGAAACACTGAGTTCGAAGGCTTCCTAGTAAGGATTCAATTTGGCCAAGGCATGGTTGGTTCAACCAGAGCCGCGGCTGATCTTCAGCTGCTCCGACCTCCAGGAGGTCCAAAATTGGGGAGAAACTGGGCGAATTCTGACATGGAAGGACTTCAGTGGACGCAAGATGACGCGAGTTATGGACCCTTCTTCGCCTCTGAAATGTGTGAGACTGTCCACATGGTTGTTTGATGTCGTCTTTACATTCACACATGAAGCACGAGTCTGTCGGTGTTGCATTGGCCCTGGGAATGAAAGTATCAGGAGCTTGCTGCAGATGAACATGTGTGAATGTCTCAGCATGTTTGAATCTTGAAGAGTTGCGATGCGATCCACAAATGGTAATTGCATGTAATTACGAAGGAACTCGTACATGCATGGCTCAGAAAACTCCCCTAAAATTCAAGTGGAGCATCGCACGTGGGTCTATTGGTTGCACTTGAAGGCCTTGTGGGGGGTGAAGAAGCTTCAACCCCCCGACTGCGCTGCAAGCCCTCTTAGATGATTGGATCATGTTTCTTTTGGGCGTTTGAATCGCTTGAGGGAAGAGGTGGCCCAACCAACTCCTGAGATGGCGTTCCATCAAGCACCCACTGGAGATGCTTCCCGTTTTCGGGATTCTTTGGGTGGTGGAACTCTTCCATCAGGCACCAACGGATTTGGAGAGGGACATGGAGAGTCCAGCTCATTCAATGGAGAGTCCCAGGAAAAAGACAGATCTTGGATGGAGGAAAGAGCTTCACCAGTACCTTCCCCCATTCATTGCCTTTGGAACTCACTGCATGGGTCGTGTCCTTTCCACCAGCCTCAGGAGAAGCACAACGTACGAGCCACCATTTGCTTAGCAGTCTTTTGTTGTTTTTCGTTGAGGTTGGTGAAGGCCAGCAAAAGCAAAAAGGGAGAAACGATGCATTGCAGTCAAAAAGAGGTGCAGGCAAGCGAGCTATGCTGTTGTTTTGATCCTTTTGTTCAAAAAACTGTAGTTTGTTGTCCCATCATGCCTCGCAAGTAGGTTGCAAATGCATGTAAATGCACTAGCTCACCTAGGCAGGCATGTGTGCCACACCTAGGCCACAGAGTTCAGACTTCTATCCGACCTTGCGCGCTTGGTCGTTCGGAAAAACCCATGTCGACCTCCGTCCGGACGGTCCTCCGTCCGCGCGGCCGTGTCGACGGTCGACCCCCCGCGGGCGACCCGGGAGTGGCCCAGGTATTTCATCTGATTTGAGGCTTTTGCACCGCGAGGCGAGACTCGATCGGTTCGTCATCGGTCGGTCGTCGATGAGTCGTCCGTCTGCAGAAACAGCTGGGGGTTCTAGATGAGCGAAGCCATCTCAGCATTAACAGCTGCAATACTAAGGGCTCGCAGCGACGCAAATCAATCCAAGAATCATCCTCGAAAGCACATTGCAGATGACCAGTGCCCGGGGTTTGTGGCCAGAATGTGTCGCGGTCTTCTTCACTCGGCTGTTGTGCTGGGTCATGCAGGCAGCGCGCGAGATCTATGACAATCTATACTTGCGCAATGTGTATAAACGCTGCAGCCGCGATCTATGTCTACAATGTCATGGGGGCAAACTTTGGAAATGCCGATCCCAGTAATTGAGTATCTAAAATCAAACCTTGTCAACGGCGTGACCTTGAAACACCACTCATTGGCAATCCGTGGAAAACAACACTCGTGGTGGAATGGTTGGCTTTTGGCTATTGTCAATTCAAGCGGCCTTCTAGGCCTAACACCCCACTGCTAGTGAGGGGGCCATCGCTCTTAGGTTGGAGGCCATCGCTAGTAGGCTACTCGTTCCATGTTCTGGTCCTCTCAGTTGAGTTGGCCAGGTGGCTCGGTCATGTCGGCTACCTGCTCGATCCACATCGGTCCTCGAATGAGGTCTCCAACGCCCGTGGCTGGGTATGTGAGACACGCATGGGGTGTGGTTGCATGTCTGACTTCTGGGTGTCTCCGATCATTATGATGCTAAACCCAGTGTATATAAAGGAAAGAATAACAATTATATAGATGTTCCACTTCATGGAACCATAATGATGTGAGTCCGACGCACTAATTGATCCTCAAGACATGTTTGATAGCAACCCTGTAGGCACAAAAGCGCCACCTTGGATTTGTGCCAAGAGTTTTGGGACGTTCTAAGCTTTGGCTGCTATTTTGTGCACTTGGGCACCGGTGAACTCAAAACAGCTGCCAAGCAAAGCTGTTGCGAAGGGATAAGAAAGCCTGGGAAGACCAGCGAGGGGCGGGATTGTTTGTTCGAATGTCCTTGGCTCATAAACCTGCCTTTAGCGCGTTCTCCTTGTCAGAGCTTGAGGATGTTGGACTTGAGGGGCTCACAAACCTGCGAATCGGTACTTCTAGGGAACCATTCAGTTCTAACTTCCAACCAAATATGTATCCTTTGGAATACGCTGTAGGCGTGTTCATGATTGTTCACGGCCACGCCCAGGTGAGCATGTCAAAGAGATGGCTTGCGGGAGCCCGTTATTTTTAGGTGACAGCACACCGGTGGCCTAAAAAGATCTTGCCAGAGCGTGTGGCGTGGGTATGTGCTTGGTGACGGATTTTTGGTCAGGGAGGTACGTTTGACCCAGACTGAGCTGTGCTTATGGTGATTGGCCCAACGTCAAGGTAGTATCTTGCGCTTCTTTGAGAGAAGGTGTGTGTGTGTGTGCACATGCAAGTGCTTGCATGGCATTGATGACCTTGGCAACATTTCGCTGCAAGTTTGCCTGCCAGTGTCCTTGGACGCAGCGCAGTGGATCAAAAAGCTCCTGTTTGGTCCATCTCCATTCACCGCTGGTCACTGGTGAGTCACGTGCCTCCACGGAGGAGATGTCAGATTCTGGGCCGAGATTTGTGAGGAGCTCTACCACCACCTGAAGTCTCAATCACCCAGGACAGTCCGATTTCAAAGGCGGACACCAGCCTCACTGGGTCCATATAGGTGGTGATGGAGCCAAAACGGGTTCATGGGCCGTAACGTTACGGCCTTCTGGGTGATTGCCACCTAGCGACTTCGAATGAAGCATACACGTCTCTAATGTTAACTTTGGCAAGTCCAGTCTGAAACAAGCCTTTCCCACACCACGACAACCAACTTATACATCAACAGCTGCAGCTGGATCAAACGAACACTTTTCGGTGCATGCTGCATCAGCATGTTGGGAAGACTCGTACACTCTGGGAGATTTCCATTTTGGTGGTCGGAAAGGGAACCAGTTGGTGCGGATGTTTACCGCCAGGAATATCAGCTTAGTGTTGTCAAGCTTGGCACGGAAACAAGTGAAAGATGTCGTGGCCTCGGGAAGTGCGAGAGAGTCCTGGTGGCATCACAGGATAGAGCAGATAGAGAGGGTGTTTTCCATCGTTTGGCCGGGTGTCTCATTTTTTGATATTTGTTGTTTAAACATGAATTGTGGCGGGGTTGCGGTCATTATGGAAGAAATCCATCGAACTCCCATGACCTATAGAAACATTGGTGAAGCAGCCCTGGCATGTAGGTTCAATTGATGGACTATGTGGCCGGCCGCCTGACCCCCGGATGGCTCACCGTTTTCAACATCCAGGAGAGATCAGACTGGTGCGTTGGAGGGTTGAAGAGGTGGAAACTGATCGACACTTTGAGGATGATTCGAAAAGAAGGTAGTAAACAGCTATAGGCTATACTATACAGTGGATCACCCCCCCTGGTACATTGCGAGGGCAAGTCAAACCCATTTGGCCGCCTCAGAAAAGACGGGCACAGAGTCGTATTGTTCTTGGCTGGGTCCATTCCAACAGGCAAGCTGGCCACTGTCGCTCAAAAGCCGGCCATAGAATGCAGCTTGGACTGAGTGGTTTGCAGGCATCACCCTTTCAATATTGTTTGCATACAGATGTAATTATGATCCACCGATTGAAAAGACGTTTCGACACAGTCTTTGATGTGCATTCATGTGCATGTCTTACAATAAGCTGAGAGTTTGGCATTTGCTTCGGCAAAACCTGCCTCCCAATGGCTGGTCCTTTTCCAGGACCTGGCACTGATGTGCAACAGCTACGCTTCCCTGTCCCATCCAGCACCGCAGCTCTTCCGGGATTGTGCGGAGGTGGCTTTGTAGGGAGGTCTCGGGACACATGCGCGAGCGACCAAAAGACATGCGCGAGTCTTTTCTGAAACGAATATATAGTCCAAAGTCATCCACCACCGGCACAACAAAGAAATTCAAGTAATGCTTGTAAGTGATAAGTAATACAGTAAAATATGTATATATATATATAACACTGTGGAACTATATTTATAATATGTGTGTTGCTTATCTTTGCCGCACCTGCGCTCCTGTGCATGGCCTGTTTTTGTCCATCAATTTGGGGTTTGACGCCAGCCTTGGCAGGAGATGGCAGGAGGTACACCTGTTTGGTTTGAACAAGACAGTTTTTTGCTGGTATAGATTATAGATGTGTCAGTAATTGTAGTGTGCACGCACGCACACACACCCTTTTGCCTCGTTTGGCTGCCAGGAGCTTCTTTGGAAGCTTCCTGATGCGACATCACAAGAGCTGGCATTGGTAGTCAGCCTGGCATGCTTGTAGTTCTACAAGGCCAGCCAGGTGGCTTGGCAAAACCCCAACCATATGCAGCACATATTTGTGTGCAACTGCCTTCATGAATCACCGTTTGTAATTTATGTCAATATTTTTGAGAAGCTACAGTTACCGGATTTACTCCACTTGTGGACTTGTGGGGTGCTTGATCTCGTAGCTAGTTTGCTGTGACAATGGGGTGAGTGAACTCATCTCCTTCTCAGCTCAATTTGAGACGCCTCAGCCACCAGAACATACAAGCACTGCTCGACACTCCAGCCTTTATGTGTTTGAGCACTTCCTCGGCTCTTAAACCATCAACTTCGTGGTAATGAGGGTGGAAAACCTCCCAACACACGTGGATTCCGAATCCGTCGGCCCCCAAACCTACATGAGTGACCCTATAATGAAATCCCATCCCAAGGACTATGGAAGCCATCTAAGAACCACCTCCTTCCCACCAGCGATGCGGCTTTTCGAAGGCGTCAGCCTATTCGAAGCTCCGGGCCTATGATGCCACACTCTTCAGGCGCAGACACCGGATGACACCGGTGCCCGTTCGATCGTGGGTTGACGAAAGCGTTCAACGGCGGGAGAAAGCAGCAAGCGTTGGTTTGTAGAGAGATGTATATAGGTCTTTTCATGACTGCGGATTGGGAGAGGTCTTTGAGAACTGCATGGGATACTTGGATGTAGAAGTAAGAGGTGTACCAAAGAAGCACTAGAGCTAGAGGTTCAATCTGCAGCAGACTGGCACAAAGTCAAACAAAGATGGTTCCGAACATGCTGTGAATCCTGTGTTTGGTGGGTGGCATGCCTCAACTAAGTTGATCATCCATGATGATCCATAGTTCTATCCCAATCCTCCCAAAACAGTTTTTGAATCCTCGCATTGACACATGGGGCTGGGCACACCTGAGCAGCTTGGGAAGATGCCACGCGCCAGGCATGTGGCAGCATACTCCATGAGGCAAGCAGAGGAGCGACCGCCCCGAGCGACCGCTCGGTGTTTCATTAGAGTCAGAAATGATTGCTCGGAGTTGGAAACACAACACAACCGCAACTATGAACGACAAACGCAACAATAATGAGCAGACCAGAAAGACAAACGCAAGAATACTGATAATGCTGACATGTTGAAGTGTCTGACACAGAAAGGCCACAGAAAACAAATAACCAATAAAGGAATGTGTGTGTGTGTGAATTCCTGACTGTCAGACCGAGAGTCGGCCGGCGTAGGTGGATGTGAGCGGATCCTACATCTTCAGACTGTGCGACCCTTCCACCGGTCAGAGGTCTGATCGAATTCAAACAGAGCTAGGCATAGACTGCCTAGAGCTATAGGTTGAATTGAAACCATTAATCCTCGGGGATCCGTGTTTTTTTGTGGCACAGAGGCCACAGAGCAGCTCAACACAGAAGAAAATGGAGCCCTGCCAAGCAGGAGATCACTCCCAGACATGCGGCCAATTTGCTTCATGCCTTTGCTCGCCGAGGGCCCCAAGATCCGATGGTCGTAGCGGGAGGTCCGGTGCATGCAGAGGTCCGAATAATTATCGGTGATCGGGGAATACGGGTGGATCGCATGATGTGTTTAAGGTGTTGGTGCCCTAAATGTCGCACTCACTGACTAAGTTTCATGGCAAATTAAGCCTTTAGTTGCTCCCTGGTTTTGGTTGAAAGCGCAGTTGCACCAATGAGGTCGCTCTTGTGTTAAGTTTTACTCTCCAAATCACTGGCTCCCTCCAAATCCTTGCTGAGGTGCTTCTGCACCCGAACCGCCTCAGTTCATGGACCGCTTGGTGGTGGCCTTGGTGGCCATTCTTCGCTTCCTCCGCGGTCCCAGCGGGTTCCAAGGCTCAGCGGCTCCTGGGTGGCCTGGCAGACCTTTCGACCATTAGCACGGAGGCACAGGAAGGACCAGAGCGGTGGCACAGCAGTTGGCATCAGAGTCGACCGTCCGCATAGGAGATGATAGGTAGGCGGTAGGCATGTTTGCATGACTCCTGCTGTAGAGCTAAGAGACTGAAGCCCGGAGGGCCATCGCACCGTTGGACAAGTCAACGGCACGGACACGATCGAAGTGCTTTGTTGCTTGGCCAATGTTTGGCATACCAATACATGTAGGACCGTAGGAGGCTGGATGTTCAATGAATTCCATGGAATTCCAGGATGTGGCAGCTGAGGAGTTTGTTGGGGGCAATGAGACGATGAGCAGACACACCCTTCTATCGCTGATCGGATGTTTTTCAAGTCCGAAGCAGTCAGGGGACCTCACCATCAGGTCGGAGGGCACTGTTCGTGGTTTTGGCCGATGTTTCGACCACCCAGGTGTGGTGCATGGTGCTGTAGCTGCCTCCAAGGCAGCGCACCATGCGGTGGCCCGGCAGCTTTTGGAGGCGGAAGCTGCAGCTGGCTATGGCTGAAACATGTGGATGTGGATGTTTATAGTTCTCATTTCATTTCGCTGTAGTCAAGAGCGGTAAGCTTGCGATCTAATTTAACATGCATTCGATCTAATTACTAATTTAACATGTGGATGTGGATGTTTATAGGCGGGAGAAACCCGCCAAAGCCAAACCAACCAATGGGTTGGTCACCGCATGGACAACTTGTCCACCGCCAGGCGCTCACGCGGCGCTTCGTCATGCTGCTGCGCAGGGAGCAGGTCACGGCTCACCAGGCGCGAGAGCGAAAGGCGGAAGGAACAAAGATGTGGTCATATGTGGTTTGTCTTGGGGAGGGAAGGTCATATATGGATCACATCCAGATCATATCATGCAAATTCATTCAATATAAGCAATAATATAGACATAGAAACATGTAATACCGTATAGTTATCTATAGATGTTTGATCATAGGTCCTTTCTTAATTAGATCACATAGAATCCCCAAGGGACACCTTTGACGGCGCATGGCCATGCTTGACTCTTCACCCTTCACACCAGGTCGCCGTCATGGCCCGGGCATTTCTGGAGGCCAGGGCCGAGGAATCCGAGGCTCCGAGTCCTGAGACCAGGGGCGGAACACATTCGTGGTGAGTCAGCTTTCTGGTCGGAAAGGGGATAGTCGTAGTTCGTATGGACTACACTCACGTGTTTACAACAGCCGAAACCGAAACCAGTTTCAACTTTTGATCTTTGTTGTGATTGTTATGTGCCGTATAGTGATTAATATGCCTTGGGTCTATCCTATTACCTGGGCCCAGTGGATGATGGTTCAGAAATAATCATTGTTTACTGACTGTTGCCCGAGTTTTCCGCGATGGTGTTGTGTGGCTCGCGAGCTGGTGCTCACTGGCATAGTTGTCAGACCAGCCCTGCAGTGCTGCAGGCGGGGCTACGCAGTGAGCGGGTGGTCGAATCCATGGCTCACTGGTGGTGACCTAAGGTGGGGCAGTTGTGAGGACTCATCTCCCTTCTGAAGCTGAAATGGCTTGGGAATCGGCAGACCTGAACCTTCAATTAGAGGTTCAATAAAATGTTGATTACAGTGCAACTATATACATGAAAACTAACATGAATGTATGGTCCTGGATGAAGGTGACTGTTTCATGGATTCACTGGGCTGGATCCAACTGAAGACCGTTGCGCATTATATTCATAGTGGTTTCAAGGCAAGCAATGGGGGCCGCCACCTTTGGAATGATTCTCGGTGAAAACACCGTGCGCCGCATGTGGTTTGGAATATGAAGTCTCATCCAAGATCCATGTTCATTCAAGGGCATGGAGCTGAACAGGTGGAGGAAGCTTCATTGAGCCTTCCACTTCAGTGGTCAGACCAAGGTAGGTTTGACCAATGATGCCTTTCGAAACGGGAACCAGACCCCTTGCAGGCATCTACGCGTTCAGTGAAACCTATAAGCACAGTAGAGTTTAGGCTTCGCTCCACTGTTCGGCCAAGGCTGGTGCCTGAAGATAGTCGGCAAGCTTAGATGGAACTGGACATCATAAGAGTTCAGCTATAGCACTCAAAAAAGGAGAGTCGAAGTTCCACCCGCATACCGCGTTGGTTTTTGCAGGTGTTCATGTCATCTCTTGCGAGAATTCCGGACTAGAACCATGAGGCTTGATGCATAGGTTAAGCAAGAGATTGGTGCTGCTGAACCATGATGAGCCTCAAACATCCGGGCGCTGAATGCCCGACTTTGAGGCGAGACAGCCGTAGCAGCCGCTCAAGGCGACAGGCCACGGACTGATCAGTGCGAGGAGTGAACACCTCCAGAAAAACGAATTCTTGCATCTGCTCGCGCAGGACGAGGGGACCTGAACAGTGATGACACATGATGACACCATGTCAGCGGTTCACCATGATTGGATCTTTTTCCAATTCACCTCGACTGTCATCCTCAGTGAGAATGTTCAATCAAAGGATAGCACAAAGATGGAGGCTAGGTTGGCAACCTGCATGTCGTCTTTCTGGTTGTCCCTGTAAAACACATACAATGACATCCTTTGGAGCTGGGTTTGGCCATACGTTGACCTGCTGGCGGGATCACCTGCAGGTCGCAGCTCCAGCAGCTCTCTGCGGCCGCTGAGGCCCTCGTGGCTTTACAGCTCAACCAGGCGCCGTTCCGCCTTGCTGGGAACATGGGATGAGTGACCAAATGTGTTGAAAGGTAGCCAAATTGGGAATACCTGAGTACCTTGCTAGGCAGGTACCTTGTGCTATTTGTCCTATTCACATAAGGTAGCATTAGCTACCTGAGTTCTATCTTGCGGAAGCAAGGGGGCTGCATCGTTGAAAGTCCTTGATTTTGGGATTTAAGTAATGCTTGTATTCGTTGGGGGGGGCGGCAGTTCAACTCCCACTGTGGGGCATCATGATCACCATCATACATGAGAGGCTGTTTGGCATTTATTTGAGTGAATATTGGTCAGGTGGTTTAAAGAGGAACCGAAACAGAGAGGAAAGAGACATATGGCATCATTATAGATGAGGAGGAAAAAATAAGGGGAGATATGATCTCCGCGTTCCTTCGATGAATTTTGTGGAGAGCAGAAAGGAAGAACTGAAGGAAGAGGTTCAACTGCCACTGTTAGCATCATTATAGACATAGATGAACCCTACCTTTCGTTCATCCCTCCTCAGGTACTTGTAACAGTCAGTAGACAGTTATATATCATATATCATATCACTATTGGCCTTCACTAACTATCATCATCCATTGTGACTGGTAATAGGATAGACCCAACAAGTCCTATAAGTTTGCTTGTGTCTTCATTGAGGACCTCCCAACCGCAGGCGATTTCCGAAATATTCAAACCGCAAACAGCCGACACCAACAATACCTTTGCAAAGCACAATGGGCCTTCATCATTACTTCTCATTCACAACAATATTGAGATGTTACATCTAAAAGTCCTTGCGAAGAAACAATCAAAAAATGATCGTGTCCTCAAATCATCTTCATCACCCACACTGCTCCGACGACATTTACCTTTTCGGCAGGAGACCGAATTTAAGCTCAAGGAGACCTGGAGGCATGGACCCGCGGGCCAACGCTAAGCCAAATGCATGAGCATTTGAACCTTCCAGCCTTCAAAAGAAATTCAATATGTATACTGTATAAATATTGTCCTTGCGGCATGCAGGTTGGCAAATGATCATTTACAAATACCAATGGAAAAAGGAAAATAAACATAAACATTGATATAAACATGCAGAAATCGATTTATATTTAGGGTCTGTCCTATTACCTGTAACTGTCAGTAAACAATTATCACTATTTTTGGACAAGGCCTTACTAACCATCATCATCCACTGTTACAGCTATTAGGATAGACCCAATGTGTATTGATTTATATTCTAACTATAATCAAGATTGTGCCAGAGTGTTTGCTGCTGGAGGCTTTCCAAAGGGGTGTTTTTGAAATTAGTTGGGCCTTCTAGAGGGCTGCAGCCAGGAAGACCATAGACTTGCCAAGCTAGTCGACTCCGAGTGACCACATTTTCGGCCAATGCGAAAGTGGAAAGACATCAGGTCTCATTGGCAAAAGCTGCTTGTCCTATTAAAGATAACACAAGACAAGAGCAGCTTTTGGAATACCACTGTTTTGTTTTTGCTGCCCTAGCACATCCAATGCTGCTCCATTTGACTCCGCATTTGTTCAGAGTTCGGGGGCACAAGAATTGCAACACTTGTTGAGAAGCCTGAAGTATTCGTGGTATGGGTATCACCACCGCAAGTGGAACCAAGCAGACATGGCGTCTCTATGTTTCTCCTTCTCGCTATCTCTTTGTTTCTCCCAAGTCCAGCTTCATTCATTTGCACCTTCTGCTGGTTCTTTTGCAACGATGCTGGGATCCCTGGGGGAGATGTCCGAAGTGGAGAAGTTTGCTGACAACATTTTTTGGCCTCAATGCACAGAGGGATGTTGAGACTTTGACACGCATCCAGAACGAGGTGCAGGAACAGACAGGTGGCAGTGCAACAGCCACGGACTATCCCGGCTATCAGAACAACCTTTGGGAGGATGTCTTGGAGATGACCGATCCCTGAGCATGAAACCAACAAGTGGTTCTGCAAAGGCTAAAGTTTGGCCAACGTTTTTTTGATTCGATTTCCCAGAGGGCTTTGCTGTGAAAATGCGTGGGGGCATAGCACTGCAGAGTTTGGACCACCAACAGGAAATTAGATCCTGAAATCAGATCCTGTAGATGTTTCATTTGCTGCACTTGGGCCTTATTTAAATGAATTTCTTGATAAATTACGAAAGCCAGCCTTCGTAGAAGGCGCTAGCGGAGTTGTGTCTGGCGAACGAAGTGAGTAGTTAGGGGGTCTGGGGGGGTGGCCCGAGAAAGGTATACGTCAACTCAGCACATGCTGGGGGAGGAGGGTGCTCCGAGGGAAGGTTTTTTGAGGTTGTGTTGGAGGTGATTTTTGAGGGGTGGTGATGCAAGAAATGCCAAATGCATCATTTGCATCATCTGAATGGAAAGGTGTAGTTGGCACCTTGCAAGGTAGAGAGACCTAGGGTAGCTATAGTGCAGCTACCAGGTATAGTACTTCAAGTTCCCTTTCCGTCAACCGCTTGAGAACCTCTACACACGCACGGCAATCCACAGCCTTGAAGTCTCATTCGTGCTTTGAACTTGTATAGGTGTGTAAGAGGTATAGCAACATACTATTTATACGGACCCAGGGTAGCTACAAGTAGCTACAGTTCTGGTATGGCGCGCATGAGGCTTCAAAGCTGTGGTTTTCAAGCTAAAGTCAAGGTGGCCTGAGACCAGGGTTTGCTGCCCTAAAACACTCTGTTCAGGCCACTGAAAATAAAGGTGTAGTTGGCACCTTGCCAGGTATAGACACCCAGGGTAGCTATGTAGCTGTCGTTTTCAAGCTAAATTCAAGGTGGCCTGAGACCACGGTTTGCTGCCCTAAAACACTCTGTTCAGGCCACCTTGAAAATAAAGGTCTTGTAGCTACAATTCTGTTCCCAGGTATGGCGCGCATCAGGCTTCACAGACAGTGGAAATAGCTTCTTCCCGGCTTTGCACTGCGAATCAGCCCCACAAAAGCGCTGGCTTTCGTTTTGCAGCTTCTCAGGTTGAATTGTTGTTTAAGGCCTGAACATGTTTAGACATTTATTATATTAAATAAAAGGACCGGATAACCCCACATGATAAATTTTACAAATTTCAACTGTATATGAACATCAGTTGGGAGACGGAGTAGTGAGATGAAAAGTCAAGAAGGAAGTGTGAGGCGGTTATGCTGAGACGTGCAGTATAAGTGATGATGTGATGGACGAGGATGAGAAGGAGGGGAGGGAGGAGGTGTGTGTGTGTGTGTGTAGTGAGATGGCGTAACATATATATAGTGAGATGCCTTCTTTCCGTTCTCACAAACAACTTCTCTCCGTGAGTGAGTGAGTGAGTGAGTGAGTGAGTCAGTGAGTGAGTGAGTGAGTGAGTGAGAGGAAATCCCGCAGCCGGTCCCAGCCATTGCTTTCCAAATCACAATGGCAGTAACGCACAGAACCGCCGGGGG